CTCCCCACACACCCCGCCCAGGTTCTCGGGTGAAACTGAAAGTGAAACCTAACTGTCTGCTGAGCTCTCACTCAGTGAAGCTCTTTTCAGATTAAAAATACCTTTGAGGAAATGTATTTTCAGATGCCAAGTAAACTGCATCATGGCAGCCCCCCCGCCCGGCACGTGCTGAAATGGGCGAGACAGAAGCGGAAGGAGGTTCTTAAAGAGACAGAGGCCAATTTCAAGGCGTTTAGTAGAGGAAGTGATGAGAAGATAAGTTTATTTTCTATTTAAACATAAAAACAGCATTTTAATAACAACTAAAGGTGACATAGATACTTTATTATGGTATAGTATTTAAATATATGCCTGAGAAACACATAATATTGCCCTTTACATTCAGTATGCATGGATGCATATGTTGATCAACTCAGTTTTTTTTTTAACATTTTTTATCATTCCTTGTGCTTGGTTTACTGGTACATTTGGGATTTTTCTGTCAGTGGGTGCATACTACGTATTTGCTACCTGCTATCTGCACCATTGGGTCCTCAACCAACCAACCTTACACCAACACTTACAATATGAGTGGTTAAAATGGCATTAAAGTAATATTTGGCTTTTATAAACTTTAATTATTTGTATGAAAACAAAATTTCATAAAATAGGATCCTATAAATTCTTTAAAAATTGCTTTAAATGATGTAATTTCAAATACATCAACGATAAAAACTTCCCAATGTGTTGTGGGAAAAGTAACATTTAAACTGAAATATTACTTGTATTTCTACACTAACCTTCTCGTACTGCAGCTCGTGGTTTGTGTCATTGGTGTTGTAATTTTGCAGACAAACTGCGGTGGAGGATCAGTTTCTGTGCAACTCTGCAAATTGTGTTTTTCACATGACCATGTTTCAACGCACAGGAATCACATGTTTAAAGGAAAACTTTGCCCTTAGTTAGATTTGGAAGAAAAAAAAGTGGACAAAATTAAACAAAACCCTGTTTTTCTTGAAGAATTCGCGTGTCATGTGAGCTGGAGTGGCTGACTTGAATAGTTGGGTCTTCCTTCCTCCTTTCGAAAGCGAAATGAGAGATTGAAGAAAATCACAATGAATTGTCACAACTGGTTACGATTTTTTTTTCTTCAGTGTTTTGGATTTTACAGCATCCTCAGAGGGGTGTCTTTTATTGTCAGTCTTTCAGCTCCAAGCRTTCGGCGTTAATCAGATCTTCTTTTGAAACTATAAAAACAAAAATTAAACAGAATTTCATTTGAGTTTACAAACATAAATGAGTTCTTTTTAAGTTTTAAAGCAATGCCACATGTTGCGCCTATAAAAGAAGACTCACAGTTTGTGCGCTTTTAAATTAGTACCAATATCAGTGGGAGACAGATGTTTGATAAAAGAATCTCTTTACTTGGGCAGATGTCTCGTTCGTGTTCTCAAATAAAGCATCATTTCTAAACTTAATCAGTRTTAAAACTCATTGCTGTTTGCAACTACTCCTGAGGAATCAATGATGACATGGAAGAACTTGAGTCACTCTTTGTTTGGAATTCTGTAAATCTCACTTGTGAGCAGCTGTTCCATGTTGGACTGGAAGTGGAAAAGTACCAAGGAGCTGGAACGGCACGCTTGTCGACCAGCTGTCTTGATAACTGTTRRGTTTKTTTTTTTTWAAAACAGTACTTTCTGTTATCTGAGTGTGGCATTGGCTGACAGATCAACCTGTAGCRTGGTAATTCAGTGCAAAAATAGAGGAATATTTTGCAAAAATAAAGGTGGGACCCAACCTAATAAATCTGTTCAGGTTTGGTTGTTTTGAAGGCCACTAAGATATATTGCTGTGAGGTATATATTACTCTTATTTGTTCCAGATATTAAGAGTAATTTATCCAGTGGACTGACGTGAAAACACTGAGCTTGCTTAAACTAAAGCTCCAATATGAAGAACATTTATATGTTTTCATGCCTTCAGCAGCCATGGTTTGACCCGTTAATCCTTTTTTTATATCGCAAAGTCTGTGATAGAGTCTCTTGCTTTTCTCTTCTCTAGCTTTGTAGTGAGGATAAGTTCTCTTCATGTTGTATCATTTCAGTAGTTTTTCACGTGTCAACATTCAGCAGCATTTTTTTTAATTTGGCAAACACACACTGAACTTGTCCTTATTACGCTAGAATAAGCTGCAGAGCTAAACACATAAACACAGAGAGGCAATGACCAAAGCTTTAAAACATCTGTGTCTGTTTTTTTACGAGAAAAATCCCTCTGACACCTCAAATTTTATTTTGAGGAAAAAAATTCATACTGGTCCCAGCCGTCTATAAATCAGTGAGTGAGTTTTAATCATCACAAATGTGTGCAAAAGTTATCTCAGTCAATGGTAGTTCAGGATATTTAAAAGATTGTTTTAAAAAAATGTTGGTGTTTTTTCGCTCCTTTTCAGTTTAGTCTTTATATACAGCTACTTTCAGATGATCATGTGTTAAGATATTTAAAAATGTATAAGCAAATAGCTTTTCATGAAATAAACCCTTTTCATGCAAATAAATTAACCTCTAAAACTGCATATAAAGCATTTCTTTACATTAGATTTTTATACAAGGTAGCAACAGAGCCCATCTTCAATTAAATGCAAATGCTTTTCTGTAATATTTTTAATCTGAATAAGCAAACAGAAAACCAGTAAAGATTTTCTTCTTAATTTCCAGTTGTATTCCAAACATAAGCTTGGTCATCACTGTCATTCAAAATCCCCTGATGTCCAACTGCAGATTTTTGTTGCTGTTGTTTTTTCCAACAAAAGAATGGCCTCCTCATGTTTGGTAATTACAGAGCAGAACTGTCACAAAACCTATTATTATTAAAGAAGCAAGCATCTTCCAGTATTTTAGGGCTTAAGGGAAATTTGCCAATGGCTGCACATTTCCTCTCGTACCAACACGCTGGCAGATAGAGTGCAAGGCAATGCTTCGGCCCTGCACACATGGCCGGGTGTTTGCTTATTCCCAGGAGGAGAAACTCTGTTTTTGCTGTGGCAGCTTAAGGACATGTATGGTTGGGAATGATTGATTAAGCATTTTCTGTTTTTGTTTTCAAAGCTAAAGCACCACTGCAGCTGATGTTTGACATGAATACGGAGAGTTTGCTTTGCACAKTAGGGACTATATGGAGTGAATTTGGATACAACCTGAGCATTAAAAAGTTCTTAAGAATTATGTGGCTATTTCAACTGTATAGAACTTAATAAATTTGATGTTTAGAGGTGCAGAATTTGGTTTTCTGTTTGTGTAGAAAACTAAGCAGTGGCTGGAACAGTTACATCCTTCAGGTTAAAGACAGATCTCTGGGGTACCTAGTTGTCGTTTCAGCTCATTACTACCAGAGATACCATCGATGTATCACAGGAAGGATGTGGTGAAAGAAATGGAGCTTACATATAATCGACATCTTCCTTCTTCTTTTTCTTCCTCTTCTTTTTTTCTGCATTTACATTTGTAGTCAAGTCACTTCAGTCAAGAGATTCGGTGCATTAAAATATAAAAATAAAGATGTTTAACAAGACAGTCAATGGGTTTTTATCAAAAATGTCTGAGTCAGTTTACCTCCACCCTTTAATTCTCTACAATGACCAATTGAATTCTTTAAATTCCATTGGTTTTACATTCAAAACTTCTTTTTTCWTTGCCTGTAGATGGTGTCAGATGCTGCAGGCCAGGGGGTCACCATAACCGGCAGGAAGACATTCAACAATTGGAACTGGCCAAATGCCGTCATCTTCGCCGCTACGGTTATCACTACGATCGGTACGTGATTTCAGAAGTTTGCAGTAACTTATCTGAAATTTTGTTTCCGTTCAACTGATTTTCATTTCATTTTACATTTTTGAAGGATATGGCAATATTTCCCCAAAGACCCCAGGTGGCAGAGTGTTTTGTATCTTCTACGGGCTGTTTGGAGTGCCACTATGTTTTACCTGGATCAGTGAGCTGGGGAAGTTCTTTGGTGGCAGAGCCAAGCACCTGGGCCAGTATTTGATTAAAAAGGGGATTTCATTGGTAAGTTAATTCTTTTAATTTCCTCACATTTTTGGGAAATTTAATTTATTATTATTATTTTTACCTAAATTAATGTTTTTGTCTTTTCCAGAGAAAAGCTCAGTTTACCTGCACAGCTATTTTTCTGCTGTGGGGTGTCCTGATCCATTTAGTTCTTCCACCTTTTGTGTTTATGTCTCAGGAGGGTTGGACATACATTGAAGGATTGTACTTCTCATTTGTCACCTTGACCACAGTTGGTTTTGGGGACTTTGTAGCAGGTAAGCTATGAAACAAAACATTTTCTTTACGAAATTAAAGGGGCAATATTATGTGTTTCTCAGGCATACATTTAAATACTATACCATAGTAAAGTATCTATGTCACCTTTAGCTGTTATTAAAATGCTGTTTTATGTTTAAATAGAAAATAAACTTCTCATCACTTCCTCATCTAAACGCCTTGAAATTGGCCTCTGTCTCTTTAAGAACCACCTTCCGCTTCTGTCTCACCCATTTCGGCGCGGTGGGGCTGCCATGATGCAGTTTACTTGGCATTTGAAAATACATTTCCTCAAAGGTATTTTTAAAATGAAAAGAGMGTCACTGAGTAAGAACTAATGTTAGGAGCTCCAGACAGTTTAAGTTTCACTTTCAGTTTCACCTGAGAGCCTGCAGGATGGCTGCCTAAAAAAGCTGCAGGGTTTCTCAAACATGCATGAATGAGTCTAAGCAAGGCTTTGGGCATGTTTTTTATGAGAGTATAACATTATAACATGATATAAAACTCAAAAAAGTTGATTTTACATGATATTGCCCCTTAGCATAATCTTGTAACATATAATCAAATCTGCTTTAACTCCTTGAACCATAGACTCAGATTTCTTTCTTTCCTTGTTTCTGCAGGTGTGGACCCAAATAAAGAGTATCCTGCTCTGTATCGATAYTTTGTAGAAGTATGGATTTATCTGGGGTTGGCTTGGCTTTCTCTCTTTTTTAACTGGAAAGTGCGGATGGTGATAGAAGCCCACAAGGCATTTAAAAAGCGCCGCAAGCTTCGCAAGCTTTCTTACGAAGAAATGCAACACTACAAAGAGTCTCACAAAGCCTCGGTTCGTTTGCCGCCCTCTCCCAACGATGTCAACATCTTTGGCTTCTTGTCCAAAAAGAAGGACGGCTACAGTGATTTGATAAAGCAGATCGGAAACAAAAAGGACGGTGAAACCATTACGAGCATGGATGAAAACAAGTCAACSAAAGAGATGGGCCGCTCTAAGAGTTGTGATGATGCTCCGGTGTTCAACGGTCACACCATCCTCAACTTGGACCGTTCGCCACGCCAAAAAAGACGCTACAGCTTCAGTGATCGCGTCACCGTTGCCTTTTCAAAGTCTAAGAACTACCTGCTGGGATCAGATAACGGTTTGCTGCTCACAGAAGGCCATGTGGAGGGTGATCCAGAACTGAACCAAGACCAAATGTATGAGAATCAACTTGACAAGGAGATGGAYGTGGAGAACAAAGGAGTTGGAGATTGTAGAGCGGGAAGTCGGAGGACGTGGGACTCCAAAGACTATCATCCTCTAACAATCCAAAATGCTAACATTACTTTTATCGATGAGGACAACTTTCTCAGCAGTAACTTAGAGGAGCTGGAAGACAACAATGGCGAGGACGAGGATGAAGACGACAACGATGATGATGATGATTCTAAAGCAAAAATTTCCATTACTACCTGTGATGAAAACATTGAAACAAACTCTAAAGAGGATCAGAACTCTGAGTCTGAAGGGTCAGTTTTCACAAGCGACTGTTCGGGGCACAGCCACTCCTATGAGAAACTCGTAGAGGAATATGCAAAGGAAGACAACACAGACTCGTGAACTGTTCGATCAACGTAAAGACTGACATATCCCTGGTCCTCTGTCCGTTCGCCGGGCCAGCACTGAAGTATGTGTTCATGTGAACCGTTTGAAAGGATATCAAAGCTCTCACTGCACTTTTAGAGTTTGCCAAGCTAAGATCAAATTTCATATTAATGATTTGTGAAAAATCAGCCAACTTGACTCATTTTAAGAACTGAACGTCCTGTAAGCTTTAGATCAACAAGCTTTAAATCTGGCTTACATAAATCTTGACTCGTAACCCCGTTAGTATTTGAACCTTTTCTATTTGTMTTTTTTTATACGGTTTAAAATTCAGAATGCCACTTGTCTTATTGTAATGTTCAAACTGTTGTTCGTGAGTGATTTTTTTTCTGMTCATAGGCTGAAGTTCTATGTGGAGATGTTTGTGTTCCCATAGTTTCAACAATTTCTATTCACCATATTGGTGTTTTTAATGATATTTATTAAAATGAAGTATATAGTAGCTTTTGTTCAGTTGCTGTGTGGGTCTATGTGTCTACCGTTGCACAATTCAAATGAGGGTGAATCAAAGTCCACTAAGGTGCTGAATGCCCGTTAACCTGAGCCAAAACATTTGTCTTAAAGAAATGAAGGGCTAGAAGATCAACACTATTGTATTACTATTTCATATATTAAGACCTTAAAATGTGTTGCCAACAGTTGTTTTTTATGCTCTGAGCAACCAAACTATGACTACAATCAAGATAATCAGTGTTGCCTGTCGAACATCTGAGTGGTGAAGCCAAATATAAAAAACGCAGAAACAACCCTGAGTTGGAGGTATTGCACACTTTTCGTTTTAAAAGTTAAAACCCTGATACTTCATTTTTTTTATGCTGCATTTCACTTGATAACACTGCAGCTTCAGCACTTGCAGTGTTGGTGCTACACARGGACAAAACCTCCACAGCGGCACCGTTCTCACTTTCAGTCTTTGTAGCAACTCTTTCACTTGATTGTATTTGCCTTGTAAATATTGGCCCGGAGCCCACAGGTAGCCACAAACCCAAACTCGGCCGGGGCATGGCCTTGCCACTTGTGTTTGCTTTTGTGGGGCTCGCACCGGCACCAGCGAATGATGTGCCACTCATGAGGGGGGCAGCAAAGGTTTACTGGTGCTAGATCAATATTCTTTTGACGTAAGTGTTTAGCCAAAAAAAAAACTTATGTCATCTGTGACGGTGCTCGCAGCTGTTGTCCAACTTTTTTGCAACAACCCCCCTTTTAGGCTGACTATATTTTTTTATTTTCAAATCCACTGCCTTTTGCACACAGCATCTTGCACACAAAATGGAAATGGTGATATTTAGGGCTGTGGAAAAGGAACAAATCCGTGACACTGAGGGCTTTTTTCCCCCGTTTTTTGATTTGAACACATGAAATGCACATTTTGGTATTTGCCTTTTTCTTATGTAAATAACCTTAAATCCACTGCAAAGCAGAGGATACAAGARCATTACACCTGCAGAATGTATTTTACAGCAACTCACTGAAAATAAAACCCACACTTGGCAGGTTTCTTTTTGTCTTGTTCTCTCTGTTCTGAACAGTCTTCTTATTTTTCACTCATTCTTTTTTATGTTTTTTGCAGCCTTTTCAAACAAATGCGGTACTAGTTTGGGAGAGATGTTCAAGAGGTTTCTAGAATATTAGCTTAAGAACAAGTTAGACTGGTTTTTCAAAGTTTGTCCCCCCTTTCTATTGCTCCACTGTGTGACAACTCCAATGTATAGTTCTGTTTTTGTTAAATTATTCATATTTGTAAGTTTGTACATGAATTTCAGCAAAACTGTTTCTTGTAAAAAAATAAATAAATGTTTAATAAAACAGTGTTTTGTACTTTTTTCAACTGTAAGGCAACTCTTAAACAGAATTATCAGTTATTCATTTAATAGATGCAAAAAGCATCCTAAAAGTTTGAGGGTTTTTGTTGGCTTCTCACAATAAAATTCTTACTGATGTCTATAGATATTTCTGACTTGTACCTGCTAAATATGACCACTTGAGGCAAAGCTGTGAATGACTTAACTGGAATATGACTGATGGAAGCATAAAAAATGAATTAATAAAGCATGCATCGGTTCTAAATTACACACAAGCTGAGATATTAGACATTAAATCTAAAAATAATGAAGCAACTATAAGATATGGAACACACTGATGTCTAACAGTTTTACAAGTATGGAGCTGCAGAGACTCGTCCCCAACACTAGATGCACTGCAAAACAATTGTCCATCTAATCAAGTCTTACATCTTTATTTCCAGCCAAAAGTGTTTTAATCTTGTTTTGAGTTTATTTCATTTAATTTGATGATGTTCAGACTAATTAAATAAATAATCTGCCAGTGTAATGAGACATTTGCAATTTGTAATACTTTCTAATCTTGCTTATATCAGTCTCAAAATAACATCAAAATGCATTTTTGGTTGGATTTAGGATTTTAAAACTTAGGTGGATTATTTTTGCAGCTTAATATGTGATTTTTGTGTAAAACCTTGGCATGCTGTTTTGCTTTTTTTCTAGTTTTATTGACTACATTTTTGCAGTTTGAATTTATATTTTAGAATATTGTTAAGGTTAGGTCAAAAYTAAAACTAAAAAGCCAAAAAGTGCACAACAGCCTTGGTTTAACTAAGTTGAAACTAAGGCTGGATCAGTAGGCATAAATGCATTCAGTTTATAATCAGATAATCTGTTTTTTCAGCCTGTGTGACTGAAGTGAAGCTTGATCCTCCTTGGTCTTCCCTGCTGCCAAATCCTTGAGTTGTAGGTCACCCAGTAAGAAAAAGTGAGACGCTGCACTGTCAGAAACAATGTAAAGCAAATGAAGTCATTTCCAATGTAAAATTCTTMTGTACTGATCAAAAACTTTGCCGGCAGCAAAGCAAGTCCAGACAACCGCCGATCCTCTCCCATGAGTCAGCACTGCAGTTTGCCTTGAAGCTTCTGTCCAYAAAACCTTGCTTCAGTCATCTTCAGTCCATTGTGCATGGTTTAAATCCACTTAAGTTGTGATTTTAAAGATGAATGTCTGCTGCCTTTGAAGATCAACACATGAAGATTTGATTTATAACCTAAAGCCTATTCAATTTCTGCAGCCAAGTAATTAAAGGAGACAAGATTTTCCTAAAAGTGCAAATTGGTCTTTTGTCATCTAAACTTAAAGTGCAGTTATCAGGATGTCATCTCTGCGTGTTAGCACAACACTCTTCATATCTGATAACCTCAACAAGAAACCCTTTTTGTTCTCATGATTTAAGAATGATTTCAGGGTTTTGTGAAACATCTACCTTTGAATAGAATGAATAAATCTTGATCTGTGACAACATTTTGTAACATTTTCTCTCACCAGTATAAGATTAAAAGCATTGTTAAAAATGTTCTAATAAACATTATTTAGTCGTGATGCTGGGTCTTTTTTGTGTTTTGTTATGGACACTTACATTCTGTCTGAACAAGACATTTTTTTTCCCAGACAAAGTTGTWTGCATGTCTGAATGAATAGTTATCTATGAAAAAACATAGGAAGCTTATCAGATCAGTAGTTTGTGTTTGCTGCCTTTAAGATTATGTGGCAATGTGTTTATTGCRGGTCAAACTCAGTTACACATCAACTCACTCTGTTAAAGGTCACATTTGGATTATTGTTGTCAGTTTCAGTTTAGCATCCTAAGTCGGAAGAGCTAAAATTATTCATTTCTGAAATTTGGGTTTTGAAGTRAAACTGCAGCTTTATGTTCAAAATGTTATTGTTCCAAACCAAAAGGTTTATTTCTGATTTGCAAGACAGTTACTTAAATATCAAGAATAATGACTTGTAACACCTCCTATGKAAGCTTTTGACTTTTAAATACTCTAAAAATGAAAATAGCACAGCCAGTTGGTACTTTAATGACAATGAGYCAACTGGCTGCTATTTTTATGCACTTGGTGTATTTTTAAGTTGTCCAACAGCAAAATGCCATCAGGAACTGAAGTTAACTTGATGCGTACAGCGGGTAAAATAAGTATTGAACAGGTCACCATTTTTCTCAGTAAATATATTTCTAGAGGTGCTAATGACATGAAATGTTCACCAGATGTCGGTAACAACCCAAGTGATCCATACATACAAAGAAATCAAACCATAAATGTCCAGAAATGAAGTTATTTGTAATAATGTGGAATGGCACAGGGAAAAGGTATTGAACACACTTACTGAAATTTATCTAATACTTTGTACAAAAGCCTTTGTTGTCAATGACAGCTTCAAGACGCCTCCTGTATGGAGAAACTAGTGGCATGCATTGCTCAGGTGTGATTTTGGCCCATTCTTCCACAAACAGTCTTCAAATCTTGAAGCTTTCGTGGACCTCTTCTATGAACTCTGATCTTTAGTTCTTTCCATAGATTTTCTGTTGGATTCAGGTCAGGTGATTGGCTGGGCCATTCCAGCAGCTTTAGTTTCTTTCTCTGAAACCAACTGAGAGTTTCCTTGGCTTTGTGTTTGGGCTCATTGTCTTGCTGAAATGTCCAGCCACGTTTCATCTTCATCATCCTGGTAGATGGAAGCAGATTTTTATCAAGAATGTCTCTGTACATTTTTCCACTCATCCTTCCTTCAATTATTTGAAGTTTGCCAGTACCATATGCTGAAAAACAGCCCCACACCATGATGTTCCCACCTCCAAACTTCACTGTTGGTATGGTGTTTTTGGGCTGATGTGCAGTGCCATTTGACCTCCAAACATGATGTGTATTCTGGCATCCAAACAGTTCAATGTTGGTCTCATCTGACCAGACTATATTCTCCCAGTATTACACAGGCTTGTCTAAAGGTTGTGCAGCCAACTTTAAAGGAGCTTCAACATGCTGTTTCTTCAGCAGTGCAGTCTTGCGTGGTGAGCGTGCATACAGGCCATGGTGGTTCAGTTCATTACTTATTGTTTTCTTTGAAACAAACATACCTGCTAATTCCAGATCTTTCTGAAGCTCTCCACAAGTGGTCCTTGGTTCTTGGACAACTCTTATGATAATTCTTTTCACTCCTCTGTCAGAAATCTTGTGAGGAGCACCTGGTCGTGGTCGGTTTATGGTGAAATAATGTTCTTTCCACTTCTGAATTATGGCCCCAACAGTGCTCACTGGAACCTTCAGAAGTTTAGACATTCTTCTGTAACCGATGCCATCATTATGCTTTGCAACAATAAGGTTGTGAAGGTCTTGAGAGAGCTCTTTACTTTTACCCATCATCAGATGGTTCTTGTGTGATACCTGGCCATCATTTGGGACTGAACCAGCTGATATTAACTTGCACTGACAAGGGGCAGGCTTGCTTTCTAATTACTGAGAGAGTTCAGCTGGTGTCTTGGCTTTCCATGCCTTTTTACACCTCCCTTTCTTCATGTGTTCAATACTTTTTCCCTGTGCCATTCCACATTATTACAAATAACTTCATTTCTGGACATTTATGGTTTGATTTCTTTGTATGTATGGATCACTTGGGTTGTTACCGACATCTGGTGAAAATTTCATGTCATTAGCACCTCTAGTAATATATTTACTGAGAAAAATGGTGACATGTTCAATATTTATTTTACCCGCTGTACATCTCTGTTTTTGTTAAGTTCCCTGAATTAGTTTTTGATTGTGATGCGAATGAAGTGAGGTTCTGTGGAAATGTATTACTTTTACTGTTCAAGTAAAAAAACACAAGTAATAAATCTGTAAAAAATAGTGGTAAAATGCTTTAATAGATGCAGCTGAATATATTTTCTTTTTTTTTACATTTAGAGATTTGACCTAATGAAAATGGCTACTAATGTGACCTTATTTATTTTGATTCAAAATGCAGATTTGTGATTTYAATTATCTGCAGTGCAAATAAATCCCACTATTTCACCAATTGAAGAGCCTTCACCCCTTATGCATATGAACCTGTGATTACAGATGATGGGTGCTGAGCCAAACTAAAGACAGGGCTCAGTCTGAAAATGTGCTGAGTCTGGTGGAAACCAGAATGTCTCCTGTTACTGTGGGATTCCAGGCACAACATTAATCTACCCTCTTTGGCATTTTTGAGTYCTTCACTCTCAAGTGGATTCCACTTTATGCAGATAAATAAAGATTAAAAATAGGAAATGTTTCCGAAAGTTTCCCAAGTCAAGCCGATTGTTTTCGGGATTACTTTTAAACATTTTTAGTTCGTGAAAASTTACAGACGGATAAACATGAATAAGGAGAGCACATTTAAATATTTCAGGTGGATAAACGACTTGATCGGAGTAAAACAACAAAAATCAAAATGCGTTTAATGACGTCTTGATTATAAAAAAAATCAAACAGCAAATCAGTAATAAAATAATACTGCATGACAGGTTTTTTTTCATTTTGCAATTTTCTTTATGAAACAATTGTGTTGCTAACTTCATGCACTGTGGCTGCTAAAATATTCTGCCTCTAATTGTTTGACTTAATCAAAAATTAACCATTTTTTTTTACCAAACACCTCTTTCTTTAGATAATCTCATACAAATTGCAATAGAAAAAAAAACACTTTATCTAAAAGAACTCACATTAYTGTCTGTAGTTGGTAATTTGGAATCAGAACACAGGATGCTCCAAATAATCAGTGGAACAATATATTCAGTATTAAATATTTCTGCAGAGACACAAACATTGTTTAATTCAGAATATAGCAACAGCATAAAGAACTGTCTTGAACTAAGGATTTAAAAACATGCAGTCTCCACTTCAAATTCTTGGAAGTTAAGTTTGGGTTGTTTCAGATGGTAAAACCTTGCTGCTGACTGGACCCTGCATAAAGTTGACTGCCTGATGAGAATT